ATTCTTTCTTTTGTATGCAGATATCCAATGGTCCCAGTACCATTTGTGGAGAAGATGGTTCTTTCCCTGTTGAAAGGTCTTGGCACCCTTGTCAAAAATCAGTTGACCATGGGTTCATTTCTAGAATCTTGATTCTATTCCATTGATCTATAGATCTATCCTTTACCAGTACTAAACAGTCTTGTTACTGTAGCTTTCTAGTAAGTTTTGAAATTGGAAAGTGTACCCTCTTTGTTCTTTTTTTTCCAGAATTTTAAGAGTTTGTGAAGGATTCATGTGAATTCTTCAAACTTTTGGTAGAATCAATCAGTAGAGCCATCTTATCGTGGGCTTTAACTTGTGGGAAGTTGTTTTGAATACTAATTCAATCTCTTTACTTGTTATAGGCCTCTTCAGATTTTCTGTTTCTTTGTAAGTCAGTTTTGGTAGTTTGTGTCTTTCTAGAAATTTTTTTTTTACTTTTTTTAATGATTGCCCTAGAGGTTGCAATATATATTTAGAACTAGTCCAAGTCCACTTTCAAATAACACCGAGTAGCAGTAAGTTCATGCGTTCCACTTCAGTAGCCCAGGGTTCGCCAGTTCGGATCCCAGGACTGGCCATATGCACTGCTTATCAAGCCATGCTGTGGCAGGCATCCTATGTATAAAGTAGAGGAGCATGGGCATGGGTGTTAGATCAGAGCCAGTCTTCCTCAGCAAAAAGAGGAGGATTGGTGGTAGATGTTAGCTCAGGGCCAATTTTCCTCAAAAAAAAAAAAAACAAAGAATAAGAAAAATAAAAATTATCTTCACTTTTTCCATCTCTCATGGTTTCTTTCCTTATGTAGATCTGAGTTTCTGATCTAAAGCATTTTCTTTCTCTCTGAAGAACTTTTTTGTTAAACATTTCTTGCAAGGCCAGTCTACTGGCAAAAAATTTCCTTGATTTTTGTATGTCTGAGAAAGTCTATTTCTTTTTGACTTTTGAAGGAAAATTTCACAGGATACAGAATTCCTGGTTGGTGGGATATTTTCCTCAACATCTTAAATATTTCACTCCACTCTCCTCTTGCTTGCATGGTTTCTGAGGAGAAGCTGGATATACTTCTTATCTTAGCTGCTCTATAGATAGGTAAGCTATTTTTTTTCCTCTGACTTCTTTCCCCATTTTTTCTTTATCTTTGATCTTTCTGGAGTTTGAATATGATATGCCTAGGAACTTTTTTTGTGGCATTTATCCTGCTTGATCTTGTCTGTACTTCCTGGATCTGTGGTTTGGTGTCCGATGTTAATTTGAGGCAATTCTCAGTCACTGTTGTTTCAAATATTTCTTCTGTCCCTTTCTCTCTCTCTTCTCCTTCTGGTACTCTCATCACGCATATGTAACACCTTTAGTAGTTGTCCCACAGTTATTAGATATTCTGTTCCATTTTTTAAGTTTTTTTTCTCTTTGCTCTTTAGTTTCAGAAGATTCTATTGACATATCCTCAAGTTCAGAGATTCTTTCCTCAATGGTCCAGTACTAATGCATCAAAGGCATTCTTCCTTTCTATTACAATCACGCGTCGCTTACCAATGTGGATACATTCTGAGAAATGTGTCATTAGATGATTTTGTTGTGCAAACATCACAGAGCATACTTACGTAAACCCAGATGGTGTAGCCTACTCTACACCTAGGCTATATTGTACTCATCTTATGAGACCACCACCATATATGTGGTCTGTCGTTGACCGAAATGTCGTTATATAGTGCTTTTGATCTTTAGCATTTCATTTTTCTTCTTTCTTAGTATTTCTCTCTGATTACAACACCCATCTGTTCTTGCATGTTGTCTAATTTTGCCATTAGAACCCTTAGCATATTAATCATAGTTATATTAAAATCCTGGTCTGATAATTCCAACATTCCTGCCATATCTGACTTTGTTTCTAGTGTTTGCTCTATCTCTTCAAACTGTGAATGTTTGAAGGTTTTTTACCTTTTCGTATGCTTTGTAATTTTTTCTTGGAAGGCAGATATGATGTACTAGGTAAAAGGAACCACAGTAAATAGGCCTTTAATAATATGGTGGTGGGGTGTGGGGGTGGGGGGAGTGTTCCAAAGTCCCATGATTAGGTCTCAGGCTTTTGGTGAGTTTATGTCCCTAGATTGTGAACTTCACCAGTGCTTCTCGATTTTCTTTTTCCTCCCAGAGGTGGGACAGGGAGACTAGAGGGAGCTGGATTGGGGGATTTCCCTTTCCCTAGGCATGTTAGGCTCTGATAAAATCCCAGTAGGTTGGGCTCTGGGAAAATCATCTCTCTGGAGAGCAGACGTTGTTACAAAGAACAGACTGCCCTGGTTTATTTCAAAATGGCTACATTTCCCTTCTTCCTTCTGAAGCATGAGGGGGATTTTCCTCCTGTCTTCACTGTGAGAAGTTACTGGTAGAGCTACTAGAGGTAAAACTCACAAAAGTGAAGATGTGCTCCCCTGTGACTGGGCCCCCTGGAGACTTTTCACGCTGAGCCTCCAGCTATTCATCAATTACAGTTCAGGTTTTCCTGCCCCTGTACTTATTCCCATGGAAACTTCTGCTCATGGGTTTCTGCTCCAGCAAGTTTTGGTTCTCTGTATCTGCCTGCCTGTCTCTCCAATTTGAGGGTTAGCTTTTTCCCCTAACAGTTCCCTAACAATTCCCTAAACAGTTCCCTAACAGTTGTAAGAAAAGTTAGGGTTTCTGTTTTTTCAGTTTGTTCAGCTATTTACTTGATGTTAGAATGGAGTAATGACTTGCAAGCTCCTTAAATGCTGGACCAGAAACCAAAAGTTCTCTATCTTCTTTTTTGATATATGGCATTTTACAGCTGTGTATTTGTCTCTAAGCACTGCTTTAACTGCATCCCATAAGTTCTTTTTCTAAGTTGTGTTTTCTTTTTTTTTTCATCTCAAGATAATTTCTAATTTCCTTTGTTGTGCTTAGCCTTTCTATAGGGGATAACCTTTCTTTTCCATCGTTGGATTGATTTCAGAGAACATTAGTAACTCCGGGCCTCCGGATTTGCACTTTCACCTTCAGACAGTAGTTCCCGACGAACAGAGGAGCTATAAGTAGACGTGAGTGGCTGGGGAGGAGAAGCTACAATTAAGCCCTAGCTTTTGAAGCCACCCCGTGTCCTGTGTCCTTCTAAACCACTGGTTCTCAACTAGGGGAGATATTGTCCTTCCCACTCACCCAGCACCTACTTATCCAGTGTCTCACTACCTCTTCACAATGGTCCCTGAGGTAGGTGAAATGTCACAATCTGAGATGAGGTTGAGTGAAGCCTTAAAACTGAAGTGACCTATGAGTTGGTAGCAGAGCCTGGACGACCACCTTCCAGTCCAACTGTTTCCCAAAAAGAACACCATAGCTACCTGGACCTCCGCTTGCTTTGTTCACTCCGCCTTTCAAAAGCAGATCGTCATGCATTGTCTTGTGAGTATATGTCTGGCATATTGGTAGACTAAGGGGCTTCTCCTAGCTAAGAATGCTTTGCATGGTCTTATGATCCCCTATTGAATTTCTCCCTCTGCAAAAAGAGCGGAAACTCCCTGCAGGTGCAGCATTTGGCACAGAGTAGACACTCAGTAAATTTTTGTTGAATGAATTAGGAGATATGAGAGATAATATACCAAAATGTTAGCTTGATTATCTCTAGGAGCTTGAAATGAAGGTTGCAGCTTCCTCAGGCAGAGGTTGGGAAATTGGACGTGGTCCTAGGATTGGTGGGGGAAGAGAAATTGTAAACCTGTACATTGCTTGTTTGGCCTATAGGATTCTAATTTGGTTATCATTAATAATACTGGTAAGCATTATTTGACCTGTTAAATTCCTCACATTTCAACTTCCTTTTCTCTTTGGATTGTTCATACTACCACTTTTTACCTTTATTAAAAGACCAGTTTTAACCCTGCTTAAAAGTTCAGTGTCCTCAGATTTTGTCCTCTAAAGATCTTATCAAGAACATAACTTATGGGCCAGCCCCAGTGGCCTAGTGGTTAAGTTTGGCAAGGCTCTGCTTGGGCGACCTGGGTTCAGTTCTCAGGCATGGGCCTACACCACTCGTCAGTAGCCATGCTGTGGCAGTGGCTCACGTACAAAAAGAGGAAGTTTGGCAACAGATGTTAGCTCAGGGTGAGTCTTCCTCAGCAAAAAAATACCCCATAACTTAAAGAAAAATCTTTTGTGATGTATGACATCACTTATCATTAAATTATCCTGATGTTGACTCTATCTTAAGATTTGTTGGTAGTGCCATGAGTTGATTCTGACTCCTAGTGACCCTGTGTACAGCAGAGCGGAACCCTACCTGGTCTTTTTGCATGATCCTCTCGGCTTCACTATTCATAGGGTTTTTGTGGGCAATTCTTTTTCAGGAGTGGGTGGCCAGGTCCTTCTTCCTAGTCTGGAAGCTCTGCTGAAAACTGTCCACCATGGGTGACCCTGCTGGTATTTAAATACTGATGGCATAGCTTTCAGCATCACAGCAACACGCAACCACCACAGTATGACAACTGAAAGACAGATGGTTCCCTGACCAGCAAATGAATGCGAGCCATTGCAGTGAGAGCCTGAATCTTAGCCATTACACCACTAGGGCTGGCTTAAGGTTGCTGGTCTCAATTTTCTCATCCATAAAATGGCAATAATGGTCCTTTCTTAGCTAACTGAGACCTTGCCTGAGTATAAAATGATTTAAAGCACATGAAAGCATTCTGAACAGTACTGTGTAAATGGCAAGGCCCTTCCAGTTATGGGTAACTCTGAAAAATGGTGTTCATATGAGTTATGTAATATAACCAGTTGTCATGCAATTATTAAAGGAGTTTGCTAGAATAAAACAAAGTGCATTCAGACTTTGTGCTCCTGACTTACAGTGCTAACCTGAGTAAATAGGACTTCTTTTCCTAGTAATTTGGTTAAAAGTTCTAAAGCTGTATTTTGCCTTGGGCTGTCCTGACAATTACAATCCCTTGACCTTTGTTTCTCCATAGGTGTTACAGAACATCTTGGACACTGAAAGAGATTATGCTAAAGAACTTCAGTCTCTTCTTGTTACTTACTTAAGACCCCTGCAGTCTAATAACAAGTAAGATTTATATTTTAAACCCCTTGCTAAATAAAGCAAGATAATGTCAGCATATGGAGTCATTACTCTTATGTCACTGAATAATTGATTTTGCCCTTTAGAAGAATTTCCACAGATCACAGGTTGCCAAGAACATGGTCAAGGCAACAAATTAGACAAGATGTTGCTTTTGGAGAGCTTGGCTTGCTTTCTTTTCTGGCTGTGGAAGGAGTGAGCAGATCTGCGTTTCTGTCGGTCACAATTTTTACCTTGCATATTTTCAAGGTGGTACATCTGGTTTTACCTTACAGAAGAAGGACTTGCTGGTGTTTTTATGCAGAAAGCACATAAAGTGGAAATTCTTGTGCTTACCCTGACCTTTGCTTGCCAGGGCAGAAACTCTTTCCCATGCTCTGAGAATGGAAAGAGTGGCATTTTGTGAATGTTCATAAGAGCACTTCAAGCCAGTATTTCATCCAGGCAAAAGTGAATGATAAAGGGATGTTAAAATGTTTTTTTTAAAATAAAATGTTCAAACCTTATTCTGGTCTTAGAAATCCGAAGTGATTGTCTGAGGCCTGAATCGAAAACGTAGTTTTCACAAAAGAAAAATATTGACCATTCATTTTTTTATGCTTGTGGGCATGGCATATTTAACAAACAGTGGCTAACTACATTTTTTGTGTTTTTATTTTAATTAATTAAACTTTATGAGAGATTAGGATCTATAAGTCAAGTAGAAAATTTCGCAGTCCATCCATATAATGGAGGACAAAAGCCTTCTCTCTTATCTCAGTCAGTTTACTTTTGCTGGGCAGTTGCCTAAACTGTTGTCTTCGGGCTTGAAAATAAGTTTAATATATTTCACTGTTTTTCTCCTTTTTTCCAAATTATGCTTGCTTAATCTGGTTTTACCTAATGTCTTGCTAAATTTCCCACTTGGTTATTTTCATCGCCCTATGGGAATCTTACTTCAGTTTGAAAGGATTTTGTATTCCTGTATTTTATAAGAGTTTAAACATGATCAACAACAAAGTGCCTTTTGTTATTATTATGTAAAACATGAAGCGTTCTGTGAATCATAGTCCTTAGAGCTGAATGGAACCTCAGTGAATCATTGGGTCTAGTGCCCTGGAAGAAATGACTATCCCCACTGAATAAATAAGAAAACTAAAGTCCAGAGAGGCTTACTGCCATACCCATCACAAAGCCAGTAAGTGGCCAGACTGAACCCACTGTGTCTCCTGCCACAGAGTGAAAGTGCCTTCTGTTTTCTGGAGGGGACAGGCGCAGGAGGAGAGGGAAACTGAAGTGGTAACCCTGGGGGGGCGGATGGTAAGATTTCAAATGAAGGAGTGACTGATTAGCAATCAAGAAACAGTAAGAGGAAAGGCAAGGAAGAGAGCCACGGCAGAGGAGGTGAGAGGCCTGATTCAGAACTGCTCTGTTCCCAAATAAATTCAAAATGCAGTTATAGGAAGTTTCCTTTGGTTCTGTCTTGTAGACCCCAACGTGATTTGAGCAAACCAGACTGTTTATTGTCTGATCCCGAAGGGGCCAAATATGCCCCCAATCAAGTTCAGGTAAGCCCCCAAGTCAGGTTCTTGTTGTTATGAGAGAGCAGCAGCCAAGGAAGCTGGCTGGCTAAAGGTTTCGCTTTTGACACCCACAATAGGGGTTTTCCAGCTCGTGGTTCAGGAGGGCATTATAGCAGAAGAACTGGGAACTTTTAGACTCTCAGGGTTACTGGTAATGTTTGTTTGGGTCTTCATTTTCATTGTCAGCGAAAATGACTCTCTTGGAAACACTCCCCTTGTATTATTATATTAAGGAGAAAGAATATGTGGCAGACACTGGCTTTTTAAGTAAATCTTCAGAAAAGTTTTCTCCAAAAAAGTGATTAAGAGCATGGACTCTGGAGCTAGAATGTTTTGGTTCAAATTCTGGTTTCATCATTCACTGGCTTTGTGACGTTGGGTGATTTGCTTAACCTCTCTGAGCCTGGGTTTCCTGATATGTAAAATGGAGATAGCAATAGCACCTACCTCATAAAGCTGTTGTAAGGTTAAAATGAGCTATTATTTGTCAAATTGTTGCATAAGTGTCAAGTGCTGTATGAGTGTTGTTGGCTTGCATTGTTATTATCACTTGCTATTTGACAGGGAAAGAATGGATGAGAAAACTCTTAGTACGGAGGCCCTGGATAAAATTGTTTAGTTTGTCTTTATTTGACTCCATTCCACTCCAAAAACAAACAAGGAAACTAGAACTATTTTCTCCCCCCCACTCCTCTCATAAAGATTTCCTTTCCTTTAGGATCATTATTCTTATTACAGAAAAGGGAGTCAAGGAAAGAAGCATTAGAAAGTTGCTTAAGATCACAGAGGTGGCGTTAATTAAAAAGCAAAAGTTAAAATGTGGGGATTGCTTCCCCTGTCCCATTTTCCAGTTATTAACAAACTATCAGTTAACTAGGCTAGAGATAGATAAGTGGAGTCATCCTCAAGGTCTATTCACTGAAACTACCTATGCATATTTTTCAGCCTGAGTTCTGTGGAGTTTACGTCTTTATTGGGAAACTTTGAGGAGGTATGCACATTTCAACAGACGCTCTGCCAAGCCTTGGAAGAATGTTCTAAGTAAGTGTCACGTAGCACCCTTAGGATAGCCAGCAGTATTGTGTTTTGTTTTCCTTTTAGCTATTGTCTTAGATGGGGCACTTTATGTTTGTCCATTTGTTACAACTTTCATAAATTGTCCCAGTACAGAGAAAACACACTAGGTGGTGGTATTCACATTGTCAAACCACATGGAGTAAATTATTTCTGACTTTATTTAAAAATCATATCAGTTTACTGCTTCTGGTCGGTATAAGAGACAAATAAGGTCTCAGTGGACCATGGATGATGCTTTTGACATAGATTAGTTATTTTCTTTTGTACATTGCAAATTACTTGCAAAAGTTATTCAGATTATTCATTCAGTTTTGCAAGCTTGTTCTCTTTTAGTCATGTCTACTATATTAATAGTTGAAACACATAAAACATGGGGAAAGGAAAAGTATAACTTTATATAAACCACGGCACATATTTATGGCTTGCTAGATTGTTGAGTTGTTCAACTTCATACTGCAGAATGAACTGTAATGATCATCAGACAATATATTTCTGTAACAAGATTAATTTTCCAATCAGTGTATCTCAGAGAAGTTGGCGACTTTCATTGTGTATAGGGAAATTGGGGCAATTGCCTGTTTCTTGAGCTTTATGGGACAAAGGTGGTTTCTAGGGAGGAAGATGGTGAGAGCCCACACTAAAGAGACCTGCAGAGCCACTCCAAATGCTGTTAGGGATCCAGATTATTGATATGGAAAGATGGTCACTAAGTGAGAAGAACAGATCACAAACTAGATTTGTAATCTTTGTTTTCCATTTTATAGAGAAACATGTAGAAGAAAGTCCATGGAATATGCCCAAATTGTTATAATAGGTATCTCTGAATGGTGGAATTCTCAGTAATTTTTTTCTTTCATGTGCTTTTCTGATTTTTCTACAAATGAAAACAGGTGGATCGTAATTTAAAAAATTAATTTTAAAAGTCTTGAGGCCGCCTTGACTAGCAATCACCAGACCACCAAGACTACATAATACTCATTTGTGATGTGTCATTTTTGAATTTGATTAGTTTTGTCTGTCTTTGAACTTCACATAAATTAGCCAAGAGTATTTTGGTGTGCCCGACTAAAAATTTGAATTATGATTTGAATAAGCATCTTTAAAAAATCCTATCTAGTAATTCCAAATAAATATCTGACCCTATGGATTGGTGCCATGTTTGGTGACTAGAGTTTAAAGCAGTGGTCAAGAACTTGCATTTCATGGATTAAATGGTTCTATTATAGTTTCTCATTTAACTTTGACAAAAGAATTCAAAAGGTATGCATGTTATCAGGTTTAATTGGAATAATCTTCCTTTATCCCCTGTTTCCTAATTTAAATTTGTGTTTCACCTGTTTTCCTTACAGGTTTCCAGAAAACCAACACAAAGTAGGAGGTTGTCTACTGAACCTCATGCCTCATTTTAAATCTATGTATCTGGCTTACTGTGCAAATCATCCTTCAGCTGTAAATGTACTCACCCAGCACAGGTAAATTGTTAGCACTTCCCCAAATAGGCTGTTTCACAATGAGATCCTTTCCTAGGACCAGCTCATTTGGAAATCCAAGGTCTCCAGTTGAACTCTTGATTATTCCCATTCATCAGGCCAGGAATTGATTCATCGTTGCGTGGGCTGATTGTCTATTAATGCAACAAGTCATGTACTGAGCATCTACCCTGTGCAAGGTCCTGTTCCAGCTGATGGGGATACAGTAGTGAACAAGGAAGAGAAGGTTCCTCCTCTCACGGAGCATAGAATCTTAAGGGAAATACAGACATGAAATTAAACGTTGTAAACATGTATCGTAAAAGGGTAATTCAAAGGATGCTGGGAGACTTTGCAGTGTGGGGTAGGGTAAGGGAAGGGTCAGGTGATGCTTTCCTGAAGTAAAATTCTGTTTAGATCCAATGGTTTAGCCTTCCCCTGCCCTGGTGGATGTTTTATCTGAGTTGCTGACAAACAGCTAAATTGCCTAGCTTCATCTCTTTTTCACTTTCCCTTGGGTAGAGGAAGTTTCAAACAGTGCTTTGGCTAACAGGCAGCTATTAACATGGAGAGGCGGAAGGAAACCAACACTGTGAACTGTGTGGCAGGTACTTTAAGCAACGCGCTCTGATAATAATTATACATGAATATAAATTGTTTCAAATTAGTGGAGAACAACAGAATAGCGTCTCCTTTGAGAGTTCTTACAAAGGACCCAGATAAGTTCACATCTCTCCTACCCTTCCTTACCCTCGGATTCCTCATCCCGGACACATTTCGCTGTCACATTCGTCTGGGCTGGAATACTGTATGATAGGTTTAAAGATGCAGTTTTAACTTTGAAATCATGTGCTAGAAATTGACGTGGGACACTAGCAAGAACAACATACAGACGCTCTTAGGACTTAACCTGGAGACTAGATTCAGAATGGACATGGATTCTCGAGGCTGCTCAAGACTGAAAAGAATGTTCTTCTCTTAATCTGGCCCAAACTTGAACTCCCAGACCCAGGCTAGAATACTGTTGATACCAACCCTCAGAAGTGGTGGCAATTTTGGTTTTGTCCTGATTTCTTAGGAGCTTTATTGACTTTATATAGCTATTATGCAAGGGCATTTTTAAGGTAAAGTTCAGTAGGTCCTACTTGATTGAAGGTCAATTTTATTACCCCTGATCAAAGTTCTGAACTCTTGTGGAATAGCAAATGTCGAAGTTGGAGTTTGAAGAAAGAGGAGCCATGACTCTGGGTTATGTAGGCAAGTGGCTCAACTGCTTAGAGCTAATATTAGCTAGTAATAACACTGACAATGTGCCAGGCACATGACGTAAAAGCCTATGAGGGAGTCACTATTATTACCATCTCTGCTTTACAGATAAGACATTGGAAGGTCAAATAATCTGCCCAAGAACTTGTAGCTGTTAAGTGGTTGAACCAGAATTAGAATCCAGGTCTGTCAGACTTCTAAAAAAATATTTTTATTAAGGTATATATTTTACCTAAAAAGAGAGTAATCTAAATGCAAATTCAAAGAATTATAATAAAATGAACACCCATGTAGGCGCTACCCAGCTTGAGAAATAAAATGTTACCATTTCCTTTTTTATGTAACACTTCATTGAATTATAATTCACATGCCATACAATTCACCCATTGAAAGTGTATGGTTAAATTATTCTTAGTATATTCAGAGTTGTGCAACCATCACCACAATCAAGTTTAGAACATTTTCATCACTCCCCAGACAAACCCATGCTCAGTAGCAGTCACTCCCCATTGCCAGCCCAAGGCAAGCACTAAAATACCTTATGTCACTATGGATTTGCTTGTTCTGGAAATTTCATTTAAGTGGGATCACACAACATATGGTCTTTTGTGTTGGCTTCTTTCACTTAGCATAATGCGTTCAAGGTTCATCCATGTTGTAGCGTGTATCTGTATATGGCTTTTTAAATTGCCAAAAAATATTCTGTTGTGTGGATACTGCATGTTGCTCTTCCATTCACCAGTTTGTGGACATGTGGATTGTGAATAGTGCTCCTGCGAGCATTCCTGTGCAAGTCTTTGTGTCGACATGTTTTCTTTTCTCTTGGGTAGGTACCTAGGAGTGCAATTGCTGGATCATATGGTTACTCTATGTTTCACCTTTAGAAGAACTATCTGACAGTTTTCCAAAGTGGCTGGACAAATTTATAGTCCCACCAGCAATTTCTGAGAGTTCTATTTTCTCCACATGCTCACCAACATTTGTTATTATCAGTCCTTTTGTTTATAGCCCCCATAAGTGGGTGTGAAGCGATGTCTCATTGTGATACTGATTTGCATTTCCCTAATGAATAATGATGCTAAGCATCTTTCATGTGCTTATTAGCAATTTGTATATATTTATTTAGGGAAATATCTATTCAGATCCTTTGCCTATTTTTAAATTGGGTTATTTGTCTTATTATTGAGAAATTATTCACGTACCGTAAATTCACCATTTAAAAGTGTACTATTGAGTGGTTGTTAAAATATTCCCAAGGTTGTGCAACCATCACCACTACTTAGTTCCAGAACATTTTGACCATCCCAAAAAGAAACCTCGTACCCAGTAGCAGTCACTCTCTATTTCTCCAGTGGCTGATGACGTTGAGAATATTTTCAAGTACTTGTTGGCTATTTTAATATCTTCTTTGGAAATATGCCTATTCAAATCCTTTGCCCAGTTTTTAGTTGACTTATTCTTCTTTTCATTGTTTTGTTGCAACACTTATTTACATATTTTTCTTTATTTACTCTCATCACATATATGATTTGCAAAAATTTTCTCCCACTTTGTGGATTGTCTTTTCGCTTTCTTGATGATGTCCTTTGAAGCACAAAAGTTTTAATTTTAAGTTTAATTTTGATGATATCCAATATATCTATGTTTTTCTTTTGTTGCTTGTGCTTTTGGTTTTATATCTAAAAAGCTGTTGCCTAATCCAGGTCGTGAAGATTTATGCCTATCTAAGAATTTTATAGTCTTAGCTCTTACATTTAGCTCCGTAAATCCATTTTTGAATTAACTTTTGCATATGGTGTGAGGTAGGGGTCCAACTTTGTTCTTTTGCATGTGGATATCTAATTGTCCTAGTGCCATTTGTTGATTTCTATTCTTATAAATTTGTTACATTGTGTTTTATGTCCCAGAATTGAGTCTATCTGGGTGAATGTTCTGTGTGAGCTTGAGAAGAATTTGTATTCTGCTGTTGTTGAATGAAATATTTTATAAATGTCCATTAGATACACTAGATTGATGGTGATGTTCAGTTCAACTATGTCCTTACTAATTTTCTACCTGCTGGATCTGTCAATTACTGACAGAGGGATGTTGAAGTCTCTAACCATAATAGTGAATTTGTCTGTTTCTCCTTTCAGTTCTATCAGTTTTTGTCTCATGTATTTTGATGTTTTGTTGTTAGGTGTATTCACATTAAGGACTTAGTCTTGTTGGAGAATTAGCCCTTTTATCTTTATGTAATGCTCCCTCTTTATCCTGATAATTTTCCTTGTTCTGATGTCAGCTTTTTCTGAAATTAATATAGCTAGTCCTGCTATCTTTTGATTATTAATATATCTTTTGCTATCCCTTTACTTTTTTGTTTTTTTTTTGCTTTTTATTAAGATTATGATAGTTTACAACCTTGTGAAATTTCAGTTGTACATTATTGTCAGTCGTGTTTTAGGTGCACCACTTCACCCTTTGTGCCCTCCCCCCACCCCCCTTTTCCCCTGGTAACCACCAATCAGTTCTCTTTGTCTACATGTTTAACTTCCACCTATGAATGGAGTCATACAGAGTTCGTCTTTCTCTGTCTGGCTTATTTCACTTAACATAATACCTTCAAGGTCCATCCATGTTGTTGTGAATGGGACGATTTTATCATTTTTTATGGCTGAGTAGTATTCCATTGTATATATACATACCATATCTTCTTTATCCAATCGTCAGTTGATGGGCGCTTAGGTTGCTTCCAGGTCTTGGCTATTGTAAATAATGCTGCGATGAACATTGGGGTGCATAGGACTTTTGGAATTGCTGATTTCAAGTTCTTTGGATAGATCCCCAGTAGTGGGATGGCTGGGTCATAAGGTATTTCTATTTTTAATTTTTTGAGAAATCTCCATGCTGTTTTCCATAGTGGCTGTACCAGTTTGCATTCCCACCAACAGTGTATGAGGGTTCCTTTTTCTCCACAACCTCTCCAACAATTGTCACTTTTTGTTTTGGTTATTTTTGCCATTCTAACAGGCGTAAGGTGATATCTTAATGTAGTTTTCATTTGCATTTCCCTGATGATTAGTGATGATGAGCATCTTTTGATGTGTCTATTGGCCATCTGTATATCTTCTTTGGAGAAATGTCTATTCATGTCCCCTGCCCATTTTTTGATCGGGTTGTTTGATTTTTGGTTGTTGAGCTGTGTGAGTTCTTTATATATTATGGAGATTAACCCTTTGTCGGATATATAAGTGTGAATATTTTTTCCCAATTAGTGCGTTGTTTTTTTGTTTCAATCCTGTGTAAATGAGATTTTCTTTCTTTAATTCCTTTTCAGATAGTTCATTATTAATGTATAGAAATGCAACTGGGGGCCAGCCTGGTAGTGCAGTGGTTAAGTTCGCACGTTCCTCTTTGGCGGCCTGGGGGTTCACCAGTTTGGATCCTGGGTTTGGTCATGGCACCACTTGGCAAAAGCCATGCTGTGGTAGGTGTCCCACATATAAAGTAGAGGAAGATGGGCATGGATGTTAGCTCATGGCCAGTCTTCCTCAGCAAAAAGAGGAGGATTCGCAGTAGTTAGCTCAGGGCTAATCTTCCTCAAAAGAAAAAAAAGAAATGTAACTGATTTTTTGTATCCTGCAACTTCACTGAATCCACTTATTAGTTCTACCAGTTTCTGTGTGAGGTCTTTAGGGTTTTCTCCATATAAAATCATGTCATCTGTAAACAGAGATCATTTTACTTCTTCCTTTCCC